TATTAATAGTAATGGTAGTTTAACGTTTTCAAATGGTCTACTTTTTACTTTTATTTTAGTTAAATAAAATGTTTTGTTTTTTTACATCTAGTTTTAGTTAACTATAACAAACTTGCTGGAAAACAGGAAACAGCCATCAGAAGATGCGTCATAAGTATGGAAATGGTCACTGACAATACCCTGGTAGGCTGCAGTTTAAATCATGCTGAACCGGTGCTAGGGTGCCTAAAGTGTGTCAAGAAAATGTCCCTGACATCATCATCATTATTGTTACTACAACTAGCTCCCTGAACTGTTCATACAAAGCAGCATGCATCCATACTTTCATGTTTAAGCCCATGTCTGATCGCACCATCTGTTGCAGCAGAAATCGAAACAGGTGTACCTAACAAAGTGGCCGCGAGTGTTTGTTTTTTTTACCCCATGTTACAGCAGAGTAGTGTCGCCCGTGCATCATTTTTTACAAAAGCATTTCATATTTTCGCCTGAGCCAAAGTGGACTTATATAAACACGTCGTCAGTAGATCATCTGTCTTAGTTTTAGTGCATATTCCTGAACACATAGAAGTCACTTTACCAAACCGGATCAAAGCTAACAGGATGGCGGTGGGCATAAGTGTCACGCTTCTCTCATACAACCTAAGGGTTAAACTTACTTGTTACTGAGGATCTTTTCTTGTCGGAGTAGCAGTTCCTGTAGTTCTTCTTTACTCAGGTGTCCCAGGTCTCCCACCTCTCCCTGGCGCTCTGTCCACGACGAGGACATCACTGTTAGCTAAAGTAAGCTAACTACAGCCATCCACAAACAGCAGGAGCCCGCTTTAAACTTCAACGTAAACACGAAGGTTTACGGTAAATCTAACGGTTGATTGATTCCTTTTTTATTAGAGAGCTTCAGAAAACTCTTTAAGTGACAAATTCACTTCTTCAACACATGACACAACAACATTTCAAAGTGGGACCCTTCTTCTTCTTCTTCTTCTTCTTCCTGTGTGGAAAAAATAACCCTCTATCGCCCCCACTGCACGGGACACGGTAACACACCTCTTCCCTGTAAAGACTGTGAAGCTTATTTGCTGCCCTCTCCCGGTCAAACGTGGTAATCAGCCTGGATGCAAGAGCTTTCTCTCTTAGCAGTGCGATCAGTACAGACAGTCTGGACTGGGCTGGTGTCTCAGATTTTCCACAGCTGCATTTCCTGTCCGGATGTTTTCCAATCCACTTCTCACTCAGCTCAACTGATAATGCATGACCCAAACACAGCTGTGTCCTCTCTAGCCTGTGTCAAAGTTCAAAGTCAGTTTTGGTTGCAGCTGTGCCGTTGGAACAAAGTCTCTGCAGACTTTACCTTTAGAGTTCAGACTCTAAGTCAAAGTTTAAAGTTTTCCATTTTTTCCAGAATGTATTATTCCAAGACCTATTTCTCAAGCATCCCAGATACTGCCAAAAAGAGAAATGCTTCTTTTTTCACGCTTATCTTTGTTAATCAATTGTAATCAAAGTAAACATTAAGTTTTACTTTTTTAGTCCTGTCAAGAGATTAGTTCTAAAAAACACTTCTTCAGCTGAGAGTCAGAGAGTAGAAAGACACACGCTGCAGTTTTTACTTGCAAGGCCGGTCACAGAGCGCTCACACCAGAGTGGGGGCCCTGTGATGTGCGCTCTGTTCTTGCACTTGTCTTTATTTATACACAGAAAAGTAATACAATAATGAATACATTTGTTCAGTGGAATGTAAATACGTGAGCATGTGCATATGTGATTGTGTGTGTGTGTGTGTGTGTGTGTGTGTGTGTTGGAATGTGGGAAGCAGCCCTTTTTCCTGGTAAGAGCTCATAACTGCTTGTTCAGCTTCTTACTATCGCTGTGGGAAGATTCAGATAAAAATATCAGAACAAGTTTTATAAAGAACAATCAGTTCTAAGTAATAAAAAGGCCATCATGCAGTATTCACAGGTGCTTCACCCCCACCTTTGTTGGAAGCAGAAAAACAGGGAGCCAAGGTCATAACTCATGCTCACTGACAGTTAGAAAGAATGTGAATGCTTAGTTTTGTGGCTGTGGCGCATTTTGTATGGCTTCCTTTCTCTTGTTTAGTAGCTTTCTGCCTTCACCTGAGAGGGTGTGCCTTTCAGGTAAAGGCTCTGTCCCTCAAAAGTGAAGCCAAACAGGTGTTGTGAGTCGGGGTGTAAAGGCACTGAGAAAAAAGCATTTGATAAGTCTATCTCTGAGAACCATTGTTCTTTTGGAGTGACTGGATTCAGTATAGAGTGGGGATTCACTACTACTAGTGGCATCATTTCAGTAATTTCATTTATTGCTCGCAGATCATGCACTAGACAGTATTTTGCAGTATTAGCTTTCTTCACCACTTAAACAAAACATCACTCTTTGTTTGTTTTATTATTATTATTATTATTTTAAATTCTCCTTTCTCAAAAACAGAAAATGAAATTGTAGTTGTTCTTGGCTGAGAAATACAAAACCTCCTTTTGTTTTTTTTCAAGACAAGAAACTAAGTTTTAATTTTTCTGCCTTGTCACCTAAAACAAAGTAGACAACCCAGCTCTCAGCTGGCTCTGAACTTATCATCATCAAGGTCGCATGGTGAGAGCCACTTCAGAAGTCACAGTACTCCTCGCTCAAGCAACACGTCAAAAAACAAAAAAACTCAGCACACTACACAGAGAACAACAGCCAAGACACAACTGAAGATGCTGTGCTTCTTTGTTTTCCTTGAACTTTAGAATAAACTTCATCTGCATTAGTAAATCATATGCCTGATCATTATGTGTCACTGTGATCCACAAATTTACTTATTTTTCAACCCAACAAAACAAAAAACAAATTGCTGATGGCATGAACACTTTACACACATGAGTCAGGATGCAAAAAAGGCTGCTGCCAAAAACAGTCACCACTGTCTTGCTGTCCTCATACACTTTGACACATATGAATGCACGGACATGTCAGTTGTTTTTACTTCTTTCAGCCCTTCATCGCACTAACCTGTAAATTATTCTTTTGTTGTAGCTTTTGTTATATTGGCTCCACATTCCTAATCATGACTGGTGTGTGCAAATATCTTGGCTCATTTTGATTACTCAATGCACAGCTCATTATGCAGTGAATAACTTGAAGCAGCAGCAGACAACTACAAATTGATATTGTGAAGTCTGCACATGCAATCATAAAAAGCCCTAGAATTCACTGTAGACGCACATTCATGCATGTTTATATAAAAGTGTGTTACTAAATAAAAGAAATACAAACCCATTTTTAAAGACTCTTTCTTGTAAGCGCAGCCATCTTGTGACACATTCAGGATCATTTGCACGGTCTTTATTATCCAAACAGATGCTGGCCTCTCGTCGTTAATCGTAGTATTATATGTATCAACGAGGAAAAGGCACATCATAAAACTATTTCAAACACAGCTGTGGCAGTACAGACAACACCTGGATAACACTTGTGCCAGTGGCTCAGGAACGGCAGTCACCTCATTAAAGTTAATATCGTTAATAACAGATTTCTCAAGAATTTACCACGTCCTATTTTACCATATTACCCTGCTTCCAATTAAAATAGCTTTCCTTTCACCACCAGGATCACAGAGTAGGCTGTCACAAAGGCACAAAGCATGGTAATAAATATTATATTATTGACAGTAACAAAATATCATATGTTTAATTTGTACAGACCACATATAAAATGATAGGAAAATACACGCAATAACCATATCGACCTTCATATAGGACTGAACGCTCATAGCTCAGCGAGCAACATGAATAGAATAGATTCACTGTAAACAAAAGAAATATATTCCATATTATATCAGTTAGAAAAATATTTTTTACATAGCATTACATCATTTACATCCTACATCAAGCTACTTTTATCATTATTAGAGCTAAGTGCAAACATGGGACAGAAACCCACATAAGACTTTTTTTGCTTCACTGGCCAAAAATCATTATCTCTGACATAAATGAGTGAGATATTACTGACATGGATGTGACAACTTTAAAATGACTTAAAACAGATTCTTGTGTTAGTACATTTTAAAAAGAATATTTTAAAAAAAATGGCCGAAGACAATAGAGGTTTAAGGGAAAAATTCCACACTTTGGTCTAGTTAATATTAACGGCTCTGGTTGCATAAGTAACCCTCTTATATTCACTATATGGACAAAAATATTGGACAATTCTTATTAATACTAGAATTCAGTTGTATAAAATCAAATGCCTGGCCAGGCAGTCTGTATTTACAAAGAATTGGTTGTTCCAAACAGCACACTTTAATGCTCCCGTTGCATGTTGTGTTGTGTCTGATATCCCAGTGTTGGTGTTGTCCCTGCATTATCATAATAATCTTGGTCCAGGATCAACATTGCAACTGACCATTCACTTTGTTGATAAGAGGGGAGGGGGGTTCTTTTGTTTATATAAAACGTTATTGTGTGTTTTATTAACTATATTCTTTATAAAGTTATGCAATGTTAGCCAACTGGCATTATCAAGTTAGGTTGGCTAATGCCGGTGTTGTGCCAAAAAGTGATTGTCTGCCAAAAACTGATTTCCGGTATTTGCCAAAAACTGATTGCTCGTATTTAAACTGCTATAAGTA